CACTAGTAAAAGAGTCCCTATCACCGCTATCGTCCATGTCACTCCTACTATGACTGCAGAAGGGAATATAGGGGGTAGAAAGGACAACACTAGAAGGGAACGCAGGCACTGCCCTTAGGTGAAGAGGCGTGGTTGATGACGGAGAAGCAACAAGGGTAGTTTGAAAGAAAAGACTTCAAAATCCAATCGCAATCGTCAGCTTCACTCTTGCTACGATTGAGGGGGAACGCTGGAAATAAAGGTATGTAAGGTTATATAAAATAATTGGGGATGTAAACGAACTCTATAGATAAAGATAGAATCCTAAAGATAGAGTCCGATTAGGCCTAGCACACCTTCGAGTCTCTCCCCTGCATACTATATACCTCTTAAGGATGATCAATGCACTCAACAATAAATCATTATGGTGTTTATCATATCCAACATTTTCCACGGAGTGGACCAACACAAACCACCGTCTTGCATAGGATGTCTAGCAACGCTACGAAGATGCGTGAGAGGCCAATTCCCACCTCCCCGCTTCCTACGCGAGAAGTGACCATAACAGCGTTCCAGACGCCTCGTCTCCCCACCTCCGTGACCCTTTCCTTTCCCCCAAGACTAACCCATCTCTGATCTCTCCCACTCCTAGATCTAACCTCCATCATGCACGCAGGGAGGAATCCATAAGCATAGCGACCATCTTGATTGTGCAGGTGGCGGCGTTGAGCATACAAGGTGCAGCAGGTGCGTGGTCAAGTTCGCTGCCCTCACCGAGGGTCGTCTCAGCGGCGAGCGCAGATGAGCACTGATGCGGAGTTGACACAAATCAGATATGAGGGTCCAGGCGGCAAGCGATGCGGCAGCGACGAGTGCTGGCCAACATTAGGGCTTGAACAGTCCGTGTCCACCATCTCTTCTCTCTGATGTCCAGGTTCCAATCATCTCTGGCCTTTGCGTCCTGCACTTGATCTATCCTGTTGCACCGTTTCGATTGGATCTAGTTAGTATTGCTCCACTTCCTCTGGTGAAATTCCCATTAAACTCTTTCTAACCCTAGATCTCTGTTTCAATCCTAAGTGATTAATCCGTTCACCAAAAGGCTCTGTAGTTGTGGTAACTGTCAGGCGTCTTGCAGGGGAGGTCACGATGGAGTAGCTGATTAGAAGCACCACTAACTGTACATGGAGAGATCAGGACGAACATATTGGTAAGTCACACCTCTCTATACATCCCAGATCAAAACAAGCTGACCAAATCTCCAATTTATTTTTATTCAATAAAATTTGCCTTCTCCTAAAATCTATTTTTCTCCAGATTGTTTTTTTTCATGAATTGCGTTATTTCTGTGTGATTATTTTTAGTGCCTTGATATGTAACTATCTTCATTTCTTTGAACTTGTGCAGACAAAGGCATATCTTCTAAACCATCGTGCTTTATATGGACGTACAAGGTAATTGAACAATTAAGGTTTAAGAAAATAATGTCTTGCAAGATTAGCCTCCCTTTTCCCTGTTTATACACTTGCCTGCATTTTTGCATTGTATGATTGGATCTATATGAATATATACTGCAGACCAGTGCCTAATTTAATTTAGCTTCTTGATACTGCATTATTTAATCCGCAAGAACAACTATTTAAGTTATCATGCATCATAGTATATGAAAATAACACTGTCAATCTTGCAGATCAACAGTCATAATCATGGGTATTTCGAATAGTGTGCTGTTTTAAACATAATTTTTTTGGTTGAAACTCTGCAAGATTCTGTTCCGTTTGGTAGCACACTAGCTTCCTCAATATATGTTGAATAAAGTACTAGGGACTAAATTTAGTCTTCAGTAATCTTTGAAGTGTAATGGGCTTCTGCTCTAAACATGTTTGCAAATTGCAGTATAACTCCAATATGCTAAGTTTGAGGTATAATCCAAATCTGCAAGTCAAAGCATAGTATCTTTGTCTATTGGATTCGTGATGGAGGCTAGCATTTGCTAGAGCAGGACGTTGCCCTGGTAGTGCTTTCAACCATAACTATCCATCCCCCTATTTTAGATCAGGTTAAATTGTGAAGCATGTCCCACCTGTGTGGGATTTGGTTTATTTTTTCACCTACCAGTGAAGTTCTTGATCAGTAATATTTTAGTTTCTTCTGTTCAGTTGGATCAACAAATGCGATCATGCATATCCAAGATCTGTAAAGCTACGTTAACACAGGTAGTAACTGTTTATTATCTCACGTTAATTAATTTTCTATGGGCTAACCATTCCTGTGGTCTGGGAAAAAAATTATGGATGGTTTCTTTCTTGATCAAATTGCAACTTATCAGTTACCTGGCCCCTAGACAATTAGTATTGTTGCAGATTGTCTAGTCACACTTTGGACTAATATGGCGAGATGACATGCCAATTCAATAAGGTAGCACCTATTTGAATTTTGCTACGGGCAATTTGATTTTATATATGATATCCTTTTTTTTTTTTGCTTTGATACTATGCAAAGCTTTAGCTGGTAAAAGTATTTCACAATAGATTGTATCATGTTAACCATATATAATTTGCTATATTAGTGAAATTAATTGAGACTTTTGGATTGACTATCTGTTATTTATAGCCTAATATTGCTAAAGAATTGTGTAGCAGACTTACTGGTCCTTCACATCCATAGTTTGTCAACAAGGATCAAGGATGTGAACTATCAACTGTTTACTAGATTTAAGGTATGATTTCTTTCACTAATCACATACTTATACTTGAGCTGATCCATTAGTATTATGTTTAATTCAGTGTCTTTTTTGTCGAACCTACCAAATGTCTGGAATCCACATAACCATCTAAAACCATGGCATTCTTAGTTTAGGTGGTACGAGAACTCACAGACATGGGTATGGTCACCTTAATAACACTGAATGAAATTGTACTGCACATACTCAATATGTCCAGGGTTTTACTTTTACTCGTTTGACATTTGAGATATTTAAATAACATAGAGTTTCAGTTTCTTATTTTGGGCAGAAGCTTGCATGTACAGTGTACTCAATTTTTTCGTGCTGTTGCAGTCACTGGATTTCACCTCCTATACTTTTTACTACTTAAATTTTGGTGATCAAGCAGTACTTTTCTGGAACTGTTATAATACTGTGTGGGCTTTAATGATTGATATTTGTGAAAGATATAATGTACATCTGCTCATCATATGATGCTAGTCTATATGACACGTCTCTTAAACCTTCATATTATACTAATATTCTTAATTGCTCGTCCAGCTATAGACTAATATTCCCCGGATATACTTTTGTAGAAACATTCAATGTGGCACAATAAATCGATGATCACATCAATGGAATGCTAGACTAAACCGGAGGAAGGAGAAAGGAGGGTTGGTGGCATTCTAAGAGGGATCCTTTTATGTTTTATATTTTACTTCCATAGGAACTTGTACTCTGAAATTATGTGGATGGTACTCGTTGTAATGCAGCAAATTCTTTATACTATATGGCTGAGTATGCTTATTTTCTACGTGTTGGACGGTCTTGAATTTCACATTATTAATTGTACATGCATTGTCTCTATTTGTATCAAAAAAAATAATTATGATATTAAAGATCGAATAGTTTATTCCTTGCAACACATATAAGTGTTGCAACAGACGAAATCTACATGTTGCTACAAGCCATATAAGTCGTTCGCTCATGGTTTGTACAAGCACATATAAGCGTTACTATAACCCATCATTATGTGTTGCAAATTTGCAACGGTTATTATTATGTGTTACCAGCACAAAAATAAGTATTGCAATAGATCCTTGCAACGTCACTTTAAGCAACGCATATTAGATGCGTTGGTATAGATCCTGCCAACGTATATATGGACTTTTAGCAACTTATATTTGTGTTGCAAAAGGGGTGTCATTTTGTAGTGACCACCTGTGATATTAACTTTCCACATGATTTCTGCAAGGCTTCACTCAAGAACGGTTGTAGCCTGTATAAACAGGTTGCTACCCCCCTATAAAAATAATTTTTATTGCTGCGATTGCCTCAACTACAATTCACGCATATTTCATGCGGGGGAGAAATGAAGTTCTTTTGAGTTCTACTACAAGAGTCAAGAGTTGATAAACACACTTGTGCGTAGGAGGGCACAGCAACCATTGCATTTTATTTGATGCCTCTCCATGCACAGATTGGACAGAAGAACAACAATGATCTGCAATATCGAGTATCTATAGAGGTTTCGTCATCCCAAACGCAGAAGAGCACACAGAGTTACACTGAACATATCACATTACAAAACACATGAGAATTGTAAGGTGGGTTCATTCCAAGAGAGGTCCATCCTGCTGACCAAACCGCTCATTCATGCTATTACAGGTTGAGGTTGATGATCTCCTCGGTTCCATTGGTATATAAAGCCGCAATCCCAAATTCTGGGAATAATCAACTTCTGCTGGCATTGCTCCAGATGCGCTCATAAGCATCTTAAAGCTTCCTACCTCGATCTGGTTTGGGTGGCTTGGGTAAATGCGAAAGATGCCTTAGGATGAAATGCCAATATACATGTAGATGTAGCCTCCTGGTCCGTGCTCGCCCTACAACATCTCCTGAGCATCCGAAGGTGTTCTGCCACTTCCAACATTTTTGGTCTCTCCTCTGCTTTTGAAAGGGTACACTTCAGTGCCAACCAAGGTTTTCATTATCGAAAATAAAAATTTATCGGAGTTCATGGATAAATAGGATAAGCAAGATATATCGGAAATATCGGACCAAATTCAAAAAAAAAAATCAAATTGTTTTAAAAAATTTCGTAGAATTTGACTTGAAACTATTCCTAAGCTATTAAACATCACTTATTCACAGATAAAAACAAGAATAAAACATTATAGTGTGGGACCGTCGCACGGCTGAATTTGGGTTGTCTGTGTGGGAGCAGGAAAGAAAGAAAAAATTTGGCCGATGTCAAATTTTATCGGACCCTGTGGATAGAAGGGAAATTTCGGAAATTTCCGTGAAATTCGACCGATTAAAAAACCTTAGGTGCCAACCTTCCGATGCCTTCAAGGACAGTGTTATTCCCTTGAACTGTTATTATATCCTTATCAAACATTGCATTCCCACTATGATCTACGTCATAAGCTTTGGTGAACTCGTTGACAATGTCAAGATTCTTCTCATCATACATCTTCTTTCTCGAAATGAGTGATAAGAGAAGAATGCCAAAGTCATACACATCTTTCTGGGCTCTTGACAAGACCAATACACCACAATCAATTTGTCTGTCGTTAACAGGTAGTCCCGTTTGCTTGGCAAGCTTCCGTACCCATGAAAAACTTGTGAACTTTGGAGTGAAATTAGCATCTACAAGCAAATTGCATGGTTGAACAGAATCATGTGCGGTAATGCCTATTCCTGATGAATGGAGGTATTCTAATGCTTCTGCAGTCTGAACAGCAATCTTCACACGCAGATATAGTGGGAAATCTTCCTCGCCGTTCAGGATGTCATAGAGGCTACATTTACCAGGGCACTCATATACAAAGATTGGAGTATCAGCTTCCAAGCAACAACCTAAAAAAACCATGATATTCTCGTGGGCAACGTGTGACACTTGCATCCATGAGTTGATGACAACCTCGCTTTTCAACTTTCCAAGTTTCGGCCAGTACACCGCCACAGCTGTATTGTCCTCAAGTGTACCTTTGTAGACAGTATTTGGATAAATTTGAAATCTGAATGACCAGTTCTGTGTCAATTTCGTGAGCTCGTCCATCGTAAACATTCTCACATTGCTGAGTCTTTCTAGCATCGCAGAATTGCGAGAACTCCTCCTGAAAGTGCCAAAAGACTTATTAAACCAGCCTATGTCTTGCCCTCTTCTCAGAACATTCCAAAGGGCCTTAAGTCGTATTGCCACATCATTGATTTTAGGACGTTTGTCAATCTCCAATGTCAGGCAGTCCATTGCCAATTTTCCTATTTCAATAAGAACCGCCATGTTGCCCACATTTGCTATCTCTATGTCAACTAGCTCCCTCAACTTACTCCATTTGGTACAATCTTGTCTTGTAAAAGTCTCAATAAGGCTAAAACTACCATCTCTTACCCTTTTCCTAGCTATAAGTTCAAGGAGAACTATTCCAAAACTATAGACATCGCTCCTTGGGGTAAGACGCCCACTTTGCATATATATAGGATCCATGTAATCCAAACTGCCTTTCACAAGACTAGTGTATTTAGTGATGCCACCTGAAAGAAGCCTTGACAGTCCGAAATCTGATACTTTTGCTCTAAGATTGGCATCTAAAAGTATGTTGGCAGGCTTAATATCACCATGACAAACAAGGTTATCACTTGATAAATGCATGGAATGCATATAGCTCAAAGCTTCTGCACACCCTATAGCAATGCCCAATATTGTGTCCAAAGTGAAAGAATATCCAATTCTGTGAAGGATGTCCTCAAGGTTTCCTCTGGGAATGTACTCAGATACCATTGTTAGTGTAGTTTCCCCAATACAGTAGCCTATGAGCTTTACTACGTTCTTGTGCTTCATTTGACTATGGATACTCACTTCTTCCATAAACTCTTTTGTCAAATTGCTACGGATATATCTCTTCACTGCAACTAACTCATCGTTGTCATCTAAGAGCCCTCTGTAGACTTCTCCGAAACCACCTTTCCCGATGGCAGTGCTATAATTTCTAGTCATTCTTTTGATCTCATCTTCTGTGAAAATCTTGTTGTCATGATTGATGTCTACTTTTTGCTTAAACTTATCATTGCATTGCCTGGGATTTCCAGCCATAATTCTGTTTTCTGCAGGTTCTTTTCCACGCGAACAGTACAGATTCCACAACCTTGAGCACCCTTACACTGCAAAAGTAAAAAAAAGAACGGACAATTAATGTTAGGATTCGTTTGGATAGGTGGAACTTATCTGTTTCTCAAGGGAACCGTAAGAATCACCAACAAACGAAATTTTCACCGAAGGATTTGGAGCCAGAAGGTTTCGCTGTTCTTCCTTCGTTTGAGTTTGAACACTGAAAGCTGGTTTCTGTTAGAATCTGGCTGGCTTGCACAGGTGAGCAGTAGCTTCACTCTCTCTCACACACACACTACACTTGGGGCTGGATAGAAGGTAGGAGAAGAGAGGGGGAGCACAGAACACACGCACAAACACCAGCAAGTGCTGCTGAACTGAACTGCTAATTTCATTACCATAGTTGCGTATATATACGCAGAGGTAGCTAGTGAAGGTGGACTGCTGCAGCAGTGAAGTCTACTGTCCTACTTGGCTGCTAAGCCTTGCTAGAAATTGTTCTGCAGTTGCAAGGGAATTGAACTGCAGTATCAAGGAAACTTAGATCTGCAATTGCTTGCAGACTTCTCTTACAGTTTGTACCCATTCTGTCTTCCCTTTGCAATTGTGATTGTACATTTTTAGTTAGTACTTTTAAGTACAACAAGTTAAAACGGGTTGTCTTTAAGTTGTTTTTTCCCACAAATATTCTTAACTTTTTAAGCATATTTGAATTTATATGATTTTTTTATAAAAAACATATTATTGGAAATCAGAATTATGCCTACCAGCCAAATGATCTCGTAAAGTAATTCTGATTCATTATCTAAAATGTTTCTTGAAAGAATGTGGATTCAAAACATTTCTAAGAATCTAGATCTCCACCAAATGCATATAAGACTGGTTTTTGAAACATTTTTCAAGTAGCATTAAATTTCATTTACTCAATTTTTTATTTACGTACACCACGCTTTACTTTGTTTAAGAGTTGCTTTTCACTCTTTCCTATATTTTATGTCTGTTACGATGAATGTGTGTTGTTAGGGTTTTTTTTCATAAGTTCAAGAGTCAGATAACAAAAGGACACGGTATGGCGCTTGCCATACCATCAATCCACATAGCTATCGACTGCAACTACTCATTAAAAAAAGTCCACCACATCGCAAGATAGAGGATGAGGAAACAAGTTGTTATTTGGGCTAGTGGGCCTAACGGGCTTCAATATGTCTCTCTACCTATGGTCTCACCTATCATCGATCGTGAAAGTTGCGATCTAAGAGGCGTGCAGCGACCATGGCGCCGAGTGGCACATGAGCTGCCGGCATGTGGTTGTTCGTCACAGACCTTGATGTCGAGACAAGAATACTCAACAATAAGACCCAAGATTTACTCAATTAAAGGTACAATTAGAGAGGAATTAGAGGGAATTAGATAGGGAACAACAAGAATGGGAGATAGGCAGGGTCCTAGGACAGAGGAGGAAGATGAGCTCGGTTTCCAGTTCTCCCTTGTTCCCCTTGTTCTCATGCTGACCTGATGTTTTATCCACCTTACTCCAATCCCGACAAAGGGCCTCCGAAACAAGCCGATAAGTTCAGCCCAGTAGCCTAGCATTGAGGCCCATGACACTCCTCCCTCCTTAAAAATTAGCTTGACCCCAAGCAGACATCAAATACTCCATGACATTGACAAGAAGACCATATACATCACATTGCAGGATCAATCTTATCTGACTCACCAAATCCTTCATGTTAGATTTGTATATGTCATTGTTCTTAGAACAAGTTAAGCAAGTACAAAACTGAGATCTTAAGAAACTGCTCTAGTGCAAACTACCACATATTGCACATATGTATCGTGTTTCCATATCCCAACTAGTTGAGGGCACAAGTTCCATGCAGCAAGCTCCCAGCATACTCGATAACTTGCTGCAAGATAGCTTGCCATACGAAGTTGCCAAGGGAAATGATATAGCCAAGCACTTGTATAAAATTTTGGCCAGGCCATAATTCCTCTCGACCAACTAAGTCTGATGCATGCACAACCACATAAACATCAAGCAATTCAGGCCACAGGTCCTGATCTCAAAATAGTCCTCACGCTTGACCATCTCTTCAATGGCACTATTCTATAAAATGCATTGATACAGAATGCACTAGAGTAACCTTTGCAAATATGGAGCCCTTATGCACTAAACTGAATGCTTCTTTGTGTCAATTGCTCAACTAGAGGCCACTTTGTTTTATTACTTCGGGAGGGAGGTGGTGGTGTTCATGTAAGGGGCCGATCCTTTTTTCCTCCCTATATTACAAAGATGCAGCTCCCCTGTGCATTCGAGAAAAAAAAATACTTCGGGAGACTAAGTGATAGGAAATTCCTCCTGTTCCTTCAGTGAAATGCCTCATATAACTTGTACTTGACCCATTTACTTTAGGGAGTCTGAGTTCTCTATAATCAAGTGATTGATCTTTATTTTGGCAATGTGTAAATAAGACCATGCCATTGAGAAATTCTAATAGATCAGTCAAACTCCAATAATTCTAACATTGGTACTCCTTTTGAGAGCCAGTTGATACAACCTGGATAACTCTGATGGGACAATTTGACATATTGTTGGTGTTAGGATCGTATGTGTTACCTCTCTGTGTGACCGTAGATCCGGGTAGACCTCTGCTCTGGGTTCCTCTTCGCGCCTGGCTGCAGCCTCACGGACGCCGGTACTTGGCACGATGGTGAGGAGGCGAGGTGGCGATGCTGTGGAGGTCCAGAGGGGACTGTGGTGACCCTGCAGAGGCAACGGCGGTGGTGGCGGGCTCATCCCGTCGCTGGCAGCACGCTTTAGGATCGGATTAGGGTTTTCTTTGTAGGTGGGTGGCGGCTACGTTCAACCTCGTGACCCGAGTCCAGTTCCCCACTCCTTTATATATATGTGCTGTGCGACAGGGGCCCACCAACCAGTTAGGGTTGGGCTCCCCCGATCAGGAAGCAGAGACAAGGGCTCAAAAGGAATGTGATGAGGACATCGCCACGCTGGACACACCGACGCCATGGTCTTCCCCAAGTTGCAATTCGTTCCCAACTCAGCTGCCACGTCGCCCTCGGATTCAGCAGGCACGTCGTCACTGTTTCGGTCATAACTTTCTCATACGACATCGAAACGGGCCGTTCTTGGATGCGTTGGAAAGGGGACGACGACGCCGTCGTTTTGGATCTGGTCCCAGCTCCAGAAGGTCCGTGGATCATTCTGTGTGACCACGGCAAGGTGCTGCGTCACCTATTTGGGCCAACTTGGCCATGTATCGTGTCGGGCCTTAAGCCCAAGTTGTGGGCGCCCAACCCCTGGCCGTCCCCAACCCTAGGTCGAGTCTTAGACTATAAACACAGCCGCCGCCGCTGCTACACAATTGGGTTTTGTTTAGAGTTTAGTTTTCCATCAAGAAACTGAATCGTTCATTGTAACTGTGGTGACAAATCCTTTTACAGTGATCTAGGGCCCCCGTTCTTGATCTCCTCCACTGTGTCGATTAGTCCTTTGGAACCGAGTTCTTGAACCCTCTATTGATATTCGCGTCATTCATATTTGCAATATCAGATTGCGTGTTTTACCTTCTTGCTTGTGCTCTTCGATTCGCTTGCAGGAAAAGCCTTCTTGGCGAGGTCAATCAAGTTGTGCTTGGTTGATAACCAACGGAGCAGTGGTGTAACGGTTGCAGGGTTTGAATCGCGTCTGATTTGAAGCCGGATCGCCAACGTCGAGATCTCCACATATCGAACTTACCGGCTACCTCTCGGAAGATCGGGCCTGTACCCATCAATTGGTACCCATCAGAATGGGCCTATTGGTGGAGATCAACTAACATTCTCTCCCTTGATCTCATTCCATCTTTCAATTTCATATCATTTACTTTTGGTCATTCCATTACAGATTAGCGCCTAGAGCATGTCTCATCGTCTCGGTCCATTGCCGATAGATTTAACAGCTACAACACACTACTCTGTTATGAAATAGATACTAATCTTTGGGCCTTCTTTTGTCCAGGAATTTTAGGCTTCCCTTAAACCCATGTTAGCTACATGTTCTCTGAACACCATGTTCTCTAAACATGTTGGGTGGTAAGCCTTTTGTAAGCGGATCCGCGAGCATCCTTTCTGTACTTATATGCTCAAGACTTTTGACTTGATCCCGGAATTTATCTTTCACAACATAATACTCTATGTCAATGTGTTTGGCAGCACCACCTGACTTATGTTGTGAGCATACTGTACTGCCAGATTATAATCGCAGTATAACTTAAGTGGTCTATAGATGTCGTCAACTACCTTCAAACCGGGTATAAACTTCTTTAGTCAGTTCACCTGCCCGTTGCCTCATAACACGCTATAAACCGTCATACATTGTGGACGATGTAGTGATAGTTTGCTTTTAGCTTTTCCATGAAATAAATCCCCTTTGCGAGACGATAGAAAATCCATGTCTGGATATGTATTCACTCTTGCATAATCAGAATCTGAATATCCCACTATGTGGAATGAATCAGATCTTCTATATGTCATCATGAGGCCTTTCGTTCCTTGCAAATAATGCAAGACTTTCTTTACTAATTTCGGTGTTCTATTCCAGAATTGTTCTGGAATCTGCCAAGTAAAACCCGGTAACAAATGCCAAGTCAGGGCACGTACATACTTGAGCATGTTGCAAGCTTCCGACAGCTGAAGCATATGGAACCACTTTCACTTTATCAATTGAGCTCATATTGGTTCCTAGGGCATTGAAAATCCCCATATCTGTCGCCCTTGACTATAGGAGCAGGTGAGGGACTACATTTGTGCATACTGAATTTCTTTAAGATCTTTTCCATGTATGCCTTTTGTGACAGTCCTTATACCCTTTTTTTCTTCTATCTCGGTGAATCTCGATCCCTAGAACGAACGAGGCTTCGCCAAGATCTTTCATATCAAATTTCTTTGTCTCTAGTAGTAGACTGACATCACTACTAGCAAGTAAG